ACACACACACACACACACATACATACATATATATATATATATATATAAACAAAAGAAATAAGGTAATATGATATGATTTTAACTAGGTTCTAGAAGAGAGACAATGAGTGCCATGTCAAATGGTTTTTTGTGCAATCAGTGAAAGACTATGACATCTTCTATTACAGCCATTAAACTGTAATAGAAGTCTTTCTCAATTTCAGCAATATCATTAGTCTATAGCAAGAATTACACTGCAGAAAATTAGCAAATAAACATATAAATAAATGGATGACCCATAAAGTGACCAAAATTCGGCTTTGACTGAACTCATCTTCATCATCAAATAAATAATTAAATAAATACATACATACATACATACATACATACATACATACATACATATACAGAGACATTTACTTGAAATCTTAAAATGATTTCTGTCAACATTGTCTTCCACCTCAAAATTTAAGGTAAAATACTGGCATTTTCTGTTCATTTTAAATGTCAATTTTCATTTAGAGATTTTAACATGCTTTTGTTTTAAATTGTGCCACAGATGTTTGACATCACATTTGTTAAAAAAATAAATAAAATAAAAAATAAATACAAAGTTGTCCAACATACATGGAGCAGATTTATTTACAATAAAATGTAAACTAAAATGACATAAAAAAAATACAAAATAGTAATGTTAGAGCACAATAAAGATACCGACCCAAAGCCTGGTTCTAATCTAGAGCTCGGATTGCTGCAACCATTGTGGTTAAAAATGTTACTTTTTATGTACCCTCTGCACGTAATGCCTGACAAGGAACTCTGTGTGCCCTACTGAGCGCTTATAATTTCCCACAATTTCCCACAGTCTAACAGAGAATGAAACAATACTTACAAAATGTTTACAAAAACAAACCTCAAACCACCAAGCAGCATGAACGCATCCCAAAACAGCTCTATAGATTGAACAATGATTTACAATTCATATTACATTTGTATTTATTTTTACCTGTGCCATGCTGAACGCCAACAGGTGCTCTTAGTCACGGTTCAAGCCCCTCCTTCCGTCTCTTCACTCGTTGTACTGAACCACCATCCCCACCTAGTGACTGAGTTCTGTTACTGCGCCTCCAGTTGTGTTTGTGTTTGATTTATGGCATACTATTTTGTGGATTTTTTTCTGTCATGACTCTGAAAGCTAATTTCACCAGTAGTAAAACTATATAAATATAGACTAGTAGAAATGTGCTTTTTAAGTTCCATAAGTTCCATTTTTAATACCATCCATCACTTACTAGAACAAAAAGCAAGTGTGCTTCCTAGCAAGCAGTAAAAGAGCTGATGTTATGTTAAGGTGTTTCTCATTTAATGGTGATAAAAATGCATTGTTTGGATTATTATAATTTGATCTTTATTATATTCATAAAATGCAATGAACAACTGCCAATGTTTAAACAATTTAAAATCAACATTAAAATATTTATATTTAGAAACAATAAAAAAACTTTAAAGCAGTACAAACTATACAAAAGGTTAATATGTAAAATGCATATATATCCCTGACATGTTTGGTCATATGTACTCTTGTTTGTACAATATACAGTACTTGGTTCTCAATTTATATAAAAAAGGAAAACTCCAGGAACAATCACTTTTTAAAAAAACTTTTAAAAAATGTATAGTTGGCATTGACAGTACAATATTCCATTTCATTTAATAACATGCTGCTAATCTGGTGGGTAAATAATACAACTTTCAGTAGCTGTTCAGTAGTTCATTCATTAGATGTTTTTCATGCTTGCACAGAGCGTTGAACAGGTCCTTAGCAATGCTTTCACAATTCACACAGGTAAGCAGTTTCCTCATCTTATCTTGATCTGTGGGCTTTGCTCTCATATTTGTAACTGATTCATCATGTAGGTCAAGATCATCAATAATTGGATCAATGTTCTTCACGTTTTGAACCAACAGACTTAAGTTTTTTTTTAGAAACTTCTGATAATCTGGGAATACAAAAAGAAAACATCATAAGATATTGGAAAGAGAAATATATGAATAGAAAGAAATAAACTTAATCTAACCTTGTATTGGCCTGTGTTCACAGTCTCTATCAGGTTTCTGGTCTGAAATATTAGGAGAAAAAAGATTATTATTAAGTACATACAATACATGCACTACAACACACTATCTTATACCGTGTACAATGTGCCTTCAGTGGCTTTATATATTATTTATACATTTTAAAGTGTGACATATATGAGAGTTGCCACTCTAAATTTCATTGTACCTTGTGCAATGACAATAAAGTATCTTACTTGATAAATTGGGTTAACAGATGAGAAAGTACCTTCGGATGGTCTTTGATTATTGATATTGTTAATTATAAACAAATTTTAATAACCAAACATAAAATGTAGCTGTGTCCCAGATTGTGCATGTGATCCTGTTGGAGCAGAATTTTCCCAATTATACATATAAAATTTAATTTGGTCCCAAACTAGTTAACCCCTACTGAATGACAGCTTAATTTGGACTAAATGTGCAACTTTTTTACTGCAGTTATTTATTTATTTCTCTCCTTAATTTGATTCTTTTTGGTTATTTAATTGTTGTGTTTATTGTTAGAAAATTGCTAAATTACACAAACCAGTTTTTTTTAACTGTATGTAGATGTGTTTAAAATATGAGGACTTCATAAAAATGCAAACTACAAAGAAAAATTTGTTTAAAAATTCAAAATTAAACAGCTTATATAAAATTTACTTTGGCGTGCTTTGGCCTTTGGTTCATGATCATAATTTTCTGAAGGTTAAGCAACTTCATTTAATTACCATTTTTTAATAGTTTCAGATGGTGTTTTTCACTGACCAATTCTGCCAGAGGGTGCAACAGTCATATGCATTTCAATGGAGCCTTGACTTGTATCAGTTATGATAGGCGAATATACAACGCTGCCACCAGATGCAGAGATTTTGCCTTTTTACATTAAAAAAAATAAAAAAATCTGTCAGTTCATACAATTGTTAATTATACATCTGATAATGTTTCCGATTATTAATAAATATAAATCACACTTACTGTTTACTTTGGTGCCTGATTGTCCTGTCATGGTTGCAGTCTCTGGAAAGAGAGAGAGAGAGAGAGAGAGAGAGAGAGAGAGAGAGAGACAGGGAGGTTGTGCGAGCAAAAATCATGCAAGCATCCTATGTTGTATGCATGTATCTATGCTGAATGTACTGCAATGCATTACAGTGATCTACCCAGTTTACCACAATACATATTTAAAAGTATTCATAGCAACTTTACAGTTCTTTTTCATACAGGCCAATTCAATGTCACTAAAGCTGAAATATGAATAAAGACACTTGAGGGCTTGTAAAATAAATGCTTTCTCTAGTTCATGTTGGCCACACTTATTAAGGCCAAGATAACAGCTCTGAGTTTTCTCCTATATAATGCCGTAAGAGTTTGGAGAACACCTGATAAGAGATCAGAGACCATTCCTTCATCCAGAATCTCTCCAGATCCTTCAGATTCACAACTCCTTCTCTTCAGTTCACCCCACTCATTTTCTACAGGGTTCAGGTCAGAGGACAGGGACAGCCATGGCAAAAGCTTCATTTTGTGCTCAGTGACACATTTTTGTGTTGATTTTGATGTTTGTTTTGGATTATTGTCCTGATGGAAGATTCAACCACGGCCCATTATAAGATTTCTAACAGAGACAGCCAGGTTTAGATTTTTTATCTCTTGGTATTTGATAGAATCCATGATGCCATGTATCTAAACAAGATGTCCAGGACCTCCGGCAGAAAACAGGCCCACAACATTAAAGATCCAGCAGTATATTTAACCGTGGGCATGGGGTACTTTTCATCCGTTTGTACTAAACCCATATGGTTGCCAAAAAGCTCTTTCTTTAGTTTCATCTGACCATAGAAGCCAGTGCCATTTGCGGTTCCAGTCGTGTCTGACAACTGAATATACTGAATATACTGACCCCAAGATTCAACTACTCTCTGCAATTCTCCAGCGGTGATCCTTGGAGAGTCTTTGGCCACTCAAACTCTCCTTCTCACCGTGCATTAGGATGATATAGACACACGTGCTCTTCCAGACAGATTTGTAACATCTTTAGTTGATTGGAATCTCTTAATTATAGCCCTGATGGTGGAAATGGAGATTTTCAATGCTTTAGCTCTTTTCTTACAGCCACTTTCTATTTACTGAAGCTCAGCAATCTTGTTGTGCACATCAGAACTATATTCTTTGGTTTTACTCCTTGTGATGGATGAATAAGGGAATTTGGCCTTTGTGCTCCTCATATTTATAATCCTGTGGAACAGGAAGTCATGGCTGGACAATTTCATGCTCCTAGTCACCCTGGTGTGCTGAAAAATGTAAATATGAATGGGAATATACTTCAGAGATATTTTACTGAATTAATTTTTTGAATGAAAGATCAAAAGGGTAAACAATGCAGATTTATTTTCACAGTTGCCGTCGCTCATATTTATCAAAGGTGCCAATATCAGTGGAGGGCACTGTACATGCATGTATACATATAGCCTACTGTATATACAGAAAAAGATTGAATCAAGATCTAAAATCTAACCTTGTTTTGGCCTGTTACCACTTTCTCCATTATTGCATTATTATCCATTATTCCATTATTCCATTACTCCATTATTTTTCTGCTTTCAGGACTGTAACGTTATAAAAAAGATTATTATTATTATTATTATTATTATTATTATTACACAAGTTGAACTATCTGAATAAAGACACTTGGGCGTCCAGCTACAACTCAGCTACAAATCCATCGTTTTTAATAATAACTGAATGATTGTTAATGTAGAGTGACTTCACACTAGGCTGGAAGGCGTTTTTCGGTAGGTCGAATATGTTTGTATGTTCTGGGGTAAATACATTTTTTAAACAAAACCCATTATCAAAAAAAAAAAAAAAAAAAGTTGATTGCTGCCCATTTATCTACACAATTCAGCTAAAAATGAGCCATAGTTTCACTAAATGGACTTTTAGCCTATTTTTGACATGTCGATATAGTATGAATGAATGTAACTTGGGCCTCTCTATAAGTGTGCACAATGCGCTTACCTTTAGTGTCCACTGTTTTGATCCATTCTCTGAGCTCAGGATAAAATTCATTCACATCATCATTTTTTAACAAATCCAAAAAATCTCGACACACATTTTCACCCTTTCCAAGGATAATGTCCAGAAGTTTGATAACGACTCTGTCTTTACCGGTCATGTCCATCAGTTCTCTATACTGAGCCGTTGGTATAAGTTGATTAACTTGAACATGTTGCAAAAGAATTACATGATCCGAACTAAGCCATTTGATCAGGTTAAGTTTGTTTTTCACGATGATTTCCGCCATTTTCTACGACACGTTTACTTTCGTTTTCGATTTGTGCGTTGCGTTTATTCCACCGCTGGATGGCGATTGTGTCAAAAGAAGGAAAGCTTTTTCTTCTAGTAGCCTACAATACCTTATCTCACCGACTATTATGTAACTTTATTTGCAAATCTTGTCTCTGATGAGACAGTTTTCTAGCCTGAGATAAAATTGGATTTGTAAAAATATTACTAAAAGCATTGTGCATGATGCTTCTGTCTTCTGTATAAAGAGTATTATTTCTGTATTATTTATTCTGTAGCACTAAGCAGATGATGGAAAGGATAAAAAATAACTCTGACTAGCACAGAACTGAAAATACAATCAAAGAGACAATCTAAATTACTTTTGTTCTTCGTTTATGCAGCTCTACTCAACAATACTCTTGAGTCATTCCCATACACTGTTTGTTAGGCAGGTTAGACGGCATTTTATTCAGTTCTTAGGATGATAAAGCACAAAAGGATGCAAATAAAGTATCATAAAAATGGTCCCATGACTCTTATTTATTAGTCTAGATAAACAAATGTTTTTTTTGCTGTCTAGGGTGCAGCAATAGGCTGTTTTTTAAGAAGTCTTGTAGTTCAAATTAATGGGAAGAAACATTATGCACATGGTCACTGATTTTCATTTATCTATGATTGAGAAAACAGAAAGTGACAGCAGGAACTGACAGCTGACTCAGCAGATCTAAATCTAAGAGGTTAGACAAGCGCTCCGCTGACTGGGCATAAGCCAGTTAGGAAGGAGGAGGCAATGTCACCTTCATTAAAAATGAATTCCTTGTTAACATCCAGTTATTTAGAAAATACAATCTCACTTGTAGACATTAAAGCAAAGACTGGACAACATCCAGTGTGCTAGTTACAGTATGAGGACTCAGTGCCCTAGTCAATAACAAGGTAGTCAGAGAAAATATCATTTTCCTTATGAACCCGGCAACCCCAAATATTATGCTCTACAGATGTCTATAAGATGTTGACCAACTGATGTTTAATTCATGCATGGCTGAAACATCACCATCTGCAAACCATCTGTGATGTCCTTAGTTAGTTTAGCATCATTTAGCACACATTTTATATGCAACTTAAAGCATATATTTATATATGCAAATTAACACATCTGATTAGCTGTATCAACAACTCAAAAATTCTGTCATTTCTATCTATCTATCTATGTATACATTAATATATCCATAACTAAACCTTTCGCAAATGGAGGCACTGTAGCCTAGAAAAGGAATTTTTCAAAAGCCAAACATGCTTGAAGCAAAAGCAGATGACAAAGGTCAGTATGAGTCATATTTGTTTTCTCACCAACCCTCCTTACACCAGCAAAAGAAAACAAAATCTATGTCAAGTGATGCCCCAGGTATCAAAACACGATCCAATCACATCTTAAACATTAAATAAACTAGAGAAACTTGGTTTAAAAAAAATGTCAGACGAGTGACGTGACATGTGGCCAAGTATGGTGACCCATACTAGGAATTAGAAATAAACTAGAGAAACTTGGTTTAAAAAAAATGTCAGACGAGTGAGTGACATGTGGCCAAGTATGGTGACCCATACTAGGAATTAGTGCTCTGCATTTAACCCATCCAAAGTGCACACACACAGCAGTGAACACACACACCATGAACACACACCCGGAGCAGTGGGCAGCCATTTTTTGCTGCGGCGCCCAGGGAGCAGTTGGGGGTTCGGTGCCTTGCTCAAGGGCACCTCAGTCATGGTATTGAAGGTGGGAGAGAGCACTGTACATTCACCCCCCCCACCTACAATCCCTGCCGGTACGAGACTCGAACCCACAACCTTTGGGTTACGAGTCCGACTCTCTAACCATTAGGCCACAACTTCCCCGATCAAAAACCCTATCCTGAAGGAGACTATATTTAGGGGATATATTTTATTTATCTCAAAATGTCTTTTGTGCAGAAACAGCTTCTGTATTACTTTTGTATCTTGGATAAAATCTTGTATAAACTGTACTTTGCAAATACATATCTAAACAAATATGTATTTTAACATTATAGCAGTGACACCTTGGAAAGCTCTCCAGCTTGATTTGAATTTAATAATTTAAAAAAAACTGTCATCCAGACTGAATCATTATTACAGCACAGCCATAGGAGTGCACAGATTGCTGCAGGGAGGTTGCAGAGATGTCCATCTAGTCAAGTTTCATGTTCATTTAAAATGAAGCATCTGCACCTCTTTCATTTAAAGGAATAGTTTACCCAAATACGAAAATTAGCTAAGAATGTACTCAAAATTTGCTGGAAATGTACTCAACATCGGGCCACCCAAGATAAAGATGAGTTTGTTTCTTCATAAGAACAGATTTGGAGAAATTTAGAAAGGAGAAAGCAATATTATGCATTATAGATTCATATTTTTTTTTAGTTTTTTTTTTTATTACAAATAAGTAGCTTTTTGCTTCACAAGACTTGATGGACTGTAGTTGTGTGGATTACTTGTGGATTATTGTGATGTTTTTATCCGCTGTTTGGACTCTCATTCTGACGGCACCCATTCACTGCAGAGGATCCATTGGTGAGCAAGTGATGCACTACTTAATTTCTCCAAATCTGTTTCTATAAAGAAACAAACTCATCTGCATCTTGGAAATAAATGCCTGAGGGTGAATACATTTTCAGCAATTTTGCATTTTTGGGTAACCTTTAACCAAGTACAGGAAGAAAGAGATCATCGGTGTTGGAATTCTTTCTATGCTAATATTAAAAGCATTTGGAATTTAAACCTGGACAGTCTTTGAAGCCGACACCTCCTTGCATCTAAACAGTAGGTTTCTGTGACAGAGCAGCCCTTTCCTTCAACTCTTTCCAGAATCCCACTACCTCAATGCTTTGTTTGGTGAAAAACAACAGATGGAAAGAGCAGGGGGGAATCATTTAGCTGGGAAGATCACAGCACGTTCAACAGTGCAGAACAAAAATCACAGAGCTATCACAGACCTACAACAGGACAAATCCTGTTAAATGATCCACTGGGACCTCCTGACAAGCTACACAAAATCCACAGAACTAAAGAGCAAATTACTCATATCAAATATGGTGTGCGTTTTCATTCACTTCACAATATGACTAAGGCTTACAAAATGCAGGTTATTTCGGTAAGGTAGTAGTCACCATATTGTATAGAAAGGAAGATATAGATAGATAGGAAATTGGGTCACTCCAATCAAGTGCAAGTAGTAAATACTATATTTGGTTTGAACTTTCTGAGGCCACCAAGTAAGAAAAGACCTTCTCAGAAAAGACATGGTACCCCTGAGAACAGAAACAAACATGTGTAGGCCATTATGCTGGTTGTTAGCATTAATACAACTTGATGTTTTGGCCAAGGTACAAAGATACTTTCACATTAAAAGAAATTAAAAGACATTTTGAGAACCACAAGAAAAAAAGGACAGTGTCATACTGTAGCCTACAATTTGTACAACATTATTGTTATGGACATATATTTTTCATGAAGGATATTCTTCTAAGAATTTTGTAACTGATGCATTATTAAAACGTTGTTTAAAAGTGATTTTACAGATGAAGAGAGGAGACAGGATTTGTGACTAGATCCGCCTGATCTCCTGAAGGGTTTTGATAGAGTGATACTTGATTCAAAGAGTCTTCTTTCATAATGAAGTGGACTCACTCCTGCAGATGGCTTTAGGCCAATCACTGTCGGCAGCAGTGTAAAAATAAGTGGTTCCTTACACGAGCAATGTAAGGAACTGGAAATCGTAAAATAGTAAAAATAACTGCAAATGTGTAACACTAGAAATCAAGCATTTCTACGTCCTCGTGGATGATGCTACAGCTGTTTCCATCTGCCGTTTCCAATGAGCATTTAATAACAGAAAACAGATTTGTGTGTTTATGACTGAATACTTTATAAACCTTCTTCTTATATTAATGCAAAAGCAAAAATGTTCCAGCAGAGCAACTGTCATTGGAATGTACAAGATTGCTTTGTCATGTAGCTACTACAGACTGGCAATATCAGCACTCTTAGTACTGTTTTTCAGATCAAATTACTGGTTAAGAATAAGAGATTAAAGGTTAAACTACTCTACCAGTTGTTTCAGGTAAAATGTTTAATAAAGAAAGAGATATGTCGACATGAAGTCAAGTCATTCAGAATGTGCATTTAAACAGCTTCACAAATGTTTCCCCGCTAGATGGCAGTAATTCCCCATTCATCCTTGAGAGAAGTGCAATACTGTAGCCCGATAGGAAACAGTGAACTCAATTATTATAGGTGATTTATTACGAAGGACTACACGCAGGCTTTGTCAGCGGTACATAGTTCAAGTATACAGGTGTTTCATGTTTCGTAACAAAAAAGATGAACCAGCAGAAAGAGAAAATGGCACACGGGCTCCGTGAGACCTTGCCCACTGACGTTTCTGAAGTATTTCGTGTTTGCTGCAGCTGCAAAAACATAAGTGGTAATCTATCTTTTCTGCCTAAGAAAGAAAAGGTGTAGGACGAAAGAGCAAATAAACACCGTGGAACGTGGCGATAGAAATCTCTGTGAAATAAACGCCACATACTCAACACAATGCAAAGTTTTAGGAGTGTCAACGCATTTAAACACAGGATGATTGCTGGGCAGTATCGTTCTGCGAACACATTGCGAACGATTCCGATGTCTTATTATAAATTTTTAATAGACATCAGAGACATAGGCTATTTACGTCTGGCACTTTTTGCATATCTTCTCAGAGCGCCATATATTTCATTTCCGCCAGGAAAGAAATTGAGCCTGTGAGGAATAAAAGTAGCCCAGTGTGTCCAATTGTATTGTTGTTTAACAACATGATTGTGCAGCTCGAATGACCTCTTTCTGATATAGAACAAAAAAACACATAAAACAGTTAAATAAGTTGTGGAAATTACATTTTCTCGAACATGTATACAGTGCATGTCATTGTAAAGACTGTATAGTATCCCTCACTCACTAGCCTTGCTTTCATTTGT